ACACCTTCTACGCAAACCCCCATGGCTCAGCCCTCATCTCACTTCGCGGCGCGGCGCTGGTTGCCTCCCATAGACCCCGCAGTGTTGACAAACGCACCTCAATAAGAGTTCCACGCGCCGGTTTCGTTGGATTTTTAGGAACGGTTCGGAAACATCGCTGACCCCCTGCCTATGTTGGACTGTCGTTTTGGGAGCCGAATTCGAGGGAACAATTTCGGCTGTTGAGCTGATCAGGATTTCAATGCGACCGAGTGCCTGTTTTTTTTTAAAAATGTGAATGTGTGGATGAGCCAGAGCTACCACAAACATCCCGGGGAGCTACTGGACTGTCTGTTAGAATGCGCCGGACTCAGTGGCAGAACGAACTGGGAACGAGGGTGATGGCCTGTGTACACCGTACAGGCCCATGACCTACGGACTTGAGATTTACCCCAACTTCGTTTTCTCAGCTCTCAACAAATATTCAGATAATATTCTCTCTGAATTTGCCTTTAAAGTCTGGTTCCTGGGTGTCAATTAGACTCACCGTTGTTCTATGACGAGAATTAAGTTCTAAAACCATTGGAAATTCTCAGTGTTCTCTTTTTTACACGGGTCAAGGAATGATTTTGGATACTATGTAGCTTCTACACCTCTACAGTTGTTGAAATCAGGGATCATAGTGGCATGAAACGCAAGAATAAAATGAAATATTGGAAATTTCAATGAAATATTTTATGAACTTTCACGAGGCTGTGAAATATTTCATATGTTTCAGGGAATATAGTATACACCCGCACTCAAACGCAAAAATAGAAGTAAGTCAGAATTTTTAACCTTGCGAAACATGAAAAGGAACCGGTATTTTTCAATATCATTCATGAATTTTTGCCACCCTGGTTGATATCCTAAAACTGTCAGCAAACATTAAAAGCAGGATCAAATGAACAACTTTGACGTTACGAGTTGCCTAGAAACTTCAAACTTATATGCATTGAAAAGTGACAGTGTTTCAAAGTAGTGTAAGCCCCATGCATGCGCCCTCACTCAATTGCTTCTGCAAAAAACCACTCAGGAGTTGATATAGTTGCATGTGTCGAACTCCTTATATCTTAGAAATGGTGCTTTCTTAGAAAATAAATCTACGGTGTCAAGCGCTCAGACGCTCAACCGTGCAAGGAATCACTTTTCCCCTAGCTAACTACGTCTTACCCCCTTGTGTGCTGATACGCTAGATTTTGAAATTCTGGCGCCAAATCATGCGAGGAGCTCCCCTGCTCCCGTATTCAAGACAATAGTACGAGACTGGCATGAAAGAGACGAGACTGAGTCTGGCACTGGTTGTAACATATCTTGGCATCGGCTCCTAAAAGGGTCGTCTAATTGACTTTTCGGCAGTAGATCGCATTCGGTATTCCGATCACATACCACCAGAAAGAGCTAGTCGGCGGAAAAGTCTAGAAACATACGTACATACAATTCCAATTTTTCGACAACTTAAACGCGTGTACCTGTTTTTACTGTAGATGGCTCTATAGCATACTGAGAACGATTTGACCGTCGATTGATTAATCGATCATTTCTGGACGGCGGGGCATCGTTCGAGAAATCCTTCGATCTAATATCAAGCTGAAGTCCTGCCCGTGTTCCGGGCTCAGAGATCGAAAGTTCCGGGGAGCAATTGAAGCTGCGGCTCCAGCACCCGGAACTTTCGGCCTCTGAGCCCAGAACGGACGGTGTGTCTACACAGCTCGTAACTTTTGTTTTCAGTGTAATAATTAGTGTAACTACGTGCAGATACTATGATTTCTGGTCGTCGGTTGACTATCGAGGACGGCGGAGTGAAGTGAGGAGGCTCCAAACAAGCGGCAAGTCGATGAACCCATCAGAACTTGAGAGCCGGGAAGGATGCGCTGCGCTGGGATGCAATACTGCCGCGCTAGGGAAAAACGCCGTTTGAACATTCGAGAGTTGCCAAACTCCCTTCCATAAAATGTCTATTTTCGAGGAAAGTTATCGATATTTTTCCTTGAGATTTTCAGGACCTCGGGTAAAATTGCGGGAAAAAATATCCGAAAAATTATAGGAAAAATATTCATAAATTTACCAGGAAATTCGTGTTTTAACAAAGGTAATTTGGCAACGCCTGAAGGTTCATACGGCGTTCTTCCTCAGCGTGGCAGAATAGGCGCTATCGACGTGAGGCGCCGCCGCCGCCGCTTGAGTCGAATTTACTTTGATACACCTGTGTGACCGTGTCGCTGCTTCTAAACGCGCGCTTCTGATTTGTTCGCGGTCTCGTATCCCGCCCCGGGCTCTCACACTCATACTCCAACTCCAGCCCGATGATAAGCGGTAGTTTTCTTTTCAATAGATCCCGCTCTAGCTTGCCTCCTCCTTAGCTCATCATCGATATTGCCTCGCCTCCGGGTATCGCGCTCATCCTTTACTCCTTGTGTATCGTCGCTCCTCCGGCGCACACCGGATAGAGTCAATCAGGACGGTCGGACAGCAAATTTTGATGTTTATTTCATCACATTTTAAATCTTATGGGGTGCTTTCAGAAGAAAATGTCAAGAGGAAACCAGTGGAACAATGTTTAAAACTTCTAAGTTTCATAAGGACGGAGTTATGAGCTTGTAAAGTTCTCAAATTTTGTCCGAGCTCTCCTATTGACTTGATCCATTCTGGGGAGCGGCGAAAAGGCCCATCTTGATTTTCGCATAAGCTATAGGAAGCATGAATTTACACGTAAAATAGTTCTCACGAGAAATTCAAGATGCATCCTTACGTCGGATGGGTGACGGTATGGCGACCTTTCACGAAAAGGGCTGTTTTTTGAAGCTCTGGATATTGTGAGCAACTCGGGCCACATAATTTTTTTATTGACTATTATTAGCAGCCCAAGACATTTTTACGTTTCTAATATGCGTCACCCTCGTATAACGTCAGTAGTTCAATTTGCTGTCGTCGGCAACTCCCAAGCTTTCGCACCAAGCTTCTCGCCCAACAAAGGATGCTGACTCTGTGTCCGTTTGGAACGTGACTAACTAGAGTTCTCGTGAAGAGTTGTACTAGTTCATTTTTTTTTTTTCATTATCCTTGGGGATTTTCGAAACTGCCAAAAAAAGACTTTTCCCCGAAGTAGGTCAAAGCACAACCCCCGAGACACCCACTACAACGAGACCTGTCCTGATGAAGACGCGGAATCAAGGTGCCCCTCATCAAAACGACGAAAGAGCACGACTCCGTCGAGCCTAAGCCCATAACGCACAGAAAGTCAGAGTTTCCAGGAAAAGTCGCCGGTTATAAACCTCCATCATTATTGGCACCACAATAAGACGTATTTCTGCCAAACGGAACTGTGTGCATTAAGACCTGAGCCCTGAAAACCATAAGAATATGTGCATAACAGGGCTCACGTCATAATGCACATAGTCCCGTTTGGCAGAAATATGTCCAATATATCCCGGGCGGCTTTTGTTGGGTTCCCCGGCGTTGTCACCCCTGCCGCCCCCGCCTCGCGGGTTCCGAGTTACTATTTACTTCTTCATCCGACCCATCAGCTCCTGTGCCCTCTCTGCCCACCCCTGTTTCCAAAACAAGAGCCGAGCGTTCCCTTTCGGGAAGCGAACCGAAAAAATCCATTTGTAACCGGTAATTTCTCAGTTGTCACACGGCGTGTCTCTGTTCCCATTATCCGCGCCCTGGTCCCGGCTCCTACACCCCTCCCCCTCCCTCGCGACGATGTCCATTTCTCCGCCCCGAAATCCGGCAAATCCCCATGGTCCCGGCTCGCCAACGGTCAACCTGTTGCCCTTGTCCAAGACCGGACGCTCCTAGGAACCTGTGGCGATTGATGATCCCGTTCGGTGATATTATTTTGACGCGTCCGATTACCTGTGTCCTGTGTCCCCGACCGATCCCGCTGTCTCTGGAGATCGCGCAAATCCCGCTGAACCTGTTATCGTTCGATGATGGATGGACTTCACTGGTGCGACTGAAGTCCGATTTTGAAATTGGTGACTGTGGGAAAGACTTATGACGTGGTTTCGCTGTTCTCAGCGTTTTTGTCCCGTCTTCAATTCTTGTTGCGCTGGGGGTAGAGGAAGTAATCCTTTAGGGAATTAGGTAGGATAGGAACTCATTAAGTCATTAAACGGAAAAATTCCTCTGCTGGCACAACAATTTCGGCGGACTTCGTGTCTAATGGTGGATAGATAATCTCTAAAGCTTAAATCTTCACAACTTCTCTCCGTAGGTCAAACTTAACTCCTCTTTAAGCTTCATTTGGACTGCATTTTGAAATTTGGAACTATAGTTTCTAGCCCGGTTTAAAAACAACGTATTTGCCATTAGTTCCCTATGCATATAAGTGTTTTCCGAAAGAGGCAGGATTTATAGTTCCAAATTGCTAAATGCAGTCCATTTTCATCCTGCGCAAAATGTTTATTATGAAAATACAACGCGTGCCAGCAGCAAATATTCGGCGCAATTTCGAAACGGCCCCACGGAACTTGGGAGCAGATGTTTAGTGGCCTCCTACGACGATTTTGAGAATTTTTTGATGACTCCTCTGGCCTCGCCGACATTAGGCGCCTGGCGCAAGATGACAGTGCACGACGGAAAACAGCGCAAGTCAGCTGAAATTCGATGCTTTTTCATTACTGTCACCGCCCTGTCGGTATTTTACAAACTTGACTCCTCATTAGTTTTTTAACGCCACGAGTAGCCGTTTATTTATTTTTTTATGCATACGTAACTTTTTTTAATCCATTTTTAGATGGAATGAGAAACGATTACCCTCCCGAAAATGTATCACAATGCATCGGATCTCTCTGGACATGATTTTTTTATCGGACCTTTTCGAGTCATGCGGATGCAATGGATTATATTAATCGTTATCAGGACTTCAGCATGTATTAGTTTACATTAAAATCGCTGACATTATAATATTGATGTAATATTTGATTATCCTAGATTATATCGGTCATAAGACAACTTTTTTCTTTCTTTTTCAGGGAAATTGGAACCTACTCCGCACACGTCTTCGTTTAACATGGGCTACCTCGTTTCACCTTTTTATCCAAATGGCACCGCAGGCTCGGTACCCGTTTCTATGGTAAGTCAACTTTTTTCATTTTTCCTCTCTCACTCTCTTTTTCAGTATCTCTATCTTAAGTCTCACCCCTGAAATATGTAAGCATTTGCTGGAAGTAGCCTAATTGCTTACAACGTTGCCTAATTTCCTTCAAGGCGTTACTTTCTCAATAATTAATGACTCAGTCAAAAAATTCCTAAAAACTTTGTATAAATAAAAATCATTTTGGATTTTATTCAATAATCTCACGAATTTCGTAGGCGGCATTTTACCGAGGCTCTGGAACCTAGAAGAAACTAAAACCCATGGGAAATTTTTTTTTTTTTGTAGTTAAGCTGATTCCAGTTAAACTCGGTCCGTCCCGTGCTAAGGAAGAACACCGTATGAGCCTACAAGCGTTGCCTAATTTTCCTTGATTTAAGTAATTCGAATTTTGGGGGTATTTTTCCAATTTTTAGAGGATTTCATTCGCAGTTCGATGAAAAGTATCTGAAAATTTCAAGGAAAGAAATTTAGAAATTCCTTTCAAAACATAGGTATACTGCCTTGCTAAGGAAGAACGCCGCATGAACATTCGATAGTTGCCAAATTTCCTTGGGTAAAATGTTAATTTTTAAACAAAATTATGAATATTTTCCCAATATTTCAAAGAACTTTAGGTCAAATAACAAGGAAAATTATCTGAAAAATTAGAAGAAAAATATTCCTAATTTTAGCAGGAAATTCGTGTTTTACTAAAGGAAATTCGGCAACGCCTGAAGGCTCATACGGCGTTTTTCTTAACAGGGCAGTACATTACGAGAAATCTGGCAGCTTTGGAATGTTGATACGGCGTTTTTCCTCAGAAAGGCAGAATAGGAGCGGGGAAGACCGGGAAGCGGGAAGACAGACGGAGGATCGGCTGAGAGCATTGATGGATGATGCATTCCCCGAAGGCGGCTAACGCCGGTCGCTGGAGAGAAAGAAAGGAAACACTCAAGCGTGAAACCTATGGTTACATAGTTGGATTTCGAGTGCGTGAGCGCCTCGCGGATTTATCTCATGGGAAAATGCTCCGCGAGTCGCGAGAGGCTCTCCGGCTCCCGGAACGGAGAATCCCCTGTATCGGCATTTTCCGGCAGGATTTTCCGGAAGAGGCGCCTCCAGCCGCAGGGAACAATCGCTTCCTTGCGCTCGGTCAGTTTTTCCAAGGCGAACGTGATGATTGCTCCTGGCAAGCGAATTCTCTGTATCTGTGTAATCCGACAGACGCACTAGACGAGCTATCGTGGGTGAATTAGATCGTTCGTACTGCCATGCTAGGGGAAAACGCCGCGTGAACATTCTGAAGTTGCCAGATTTCCCGTGATAAAATATTTATTTTGGAGGGAAATTAGTATTAACTTTCCTTGAAATATTCTTAGATACTTTCTATTAGATTGCAAGTAAAATTCACCGAAAAATTGAAAGGAACTTATTCACAAATTTCCCTGAAAATTCGTATTCGGAAACGGCTGGGGGCTTATACACCGCTCTTTCTTTGCGCGGCAGCATAGCTTCCCTCTCCTCGATATCAGGGGTGTAGAAAGTTCTTCCAAATTTTATTCCCATTCCCCCATTCCTAAGCAATAGTCACGATCGATTCCCCCTGTTTTAAAAATGTGGTGACGGATCTGCGGTTTTGTTTTTTAACTCTTATTTTTAACATAGAATCACTGTTGACTTCGTTTTTTATTAGATCCTGCGTGTCCATCTTCTAAAATTAGTTAATTGGGCTCACTTGAAATTTGATTCATCATTTACTCACCACTTAACATGTAAAATTGCCATTCATGATCAGTGCGACGAGCCCAACAGAGCTCTTTAAAAATCCAAGTGATGATTCAGCTGTTTAAGTCATGCATTCCTTCTAAACTATGGATGCCCCTCTTCACACCTCCCAACCATACCATCGTATAGGTCCTCTACTCGAACAGGCACGGTTTTATAATTTGGGTAAGAATTTGTGCAGCCCACAATCAATCCTCCTCGTTCTTGTTATGTCTCATGTCTTGTGTTAGCAGAATTATCAGCAAATTTGGAGTTCAAGAAACAGTCTGTGAAGTCAAGAGTAGGTCGCTTTTTGTAGGAAAAAAAAAAAAAGAGCTAAGCTCATTGATTTATTTGGGCTCGCCGGGAGTTTAAACGCGACGACTTCATGAATTTTTCATCAGGCGTCGAGTCTCGTTCATTTTTCCCATGATTGCAGTCAGAAAATCGCAATTTTCCTCGCCAAATGCATTTATGTATGGTTGCAGTTGGGCGTTAGCGGAGACAATAGGACATAGAAACTTTCGCTGTCATGATTTTGACAGTTGGTTTTCGCTCTGTATCATCGGACTCAAGGCTGGAACTCCGACGTCCTCGCAAAGTCATGCCGCCTCGAAACGGGCACAGCACATTTTTTACTCTCATCAATGTGTCGCTAAAAAGAGCACTCCGTCCGATTCTTAACTTTCCTGGGCTGTAGTCGTTTCTATCTCATTGAATGTTGTCGAAACAGTCATTCTGCACACAAAGTGAACTACCATGAAAAATGAAACTGTCCAGGAGTCGAAGGTACTATCGAATTACATGAAAAAAATTGCACAGAGTGCAGAAAAACTTTAGCAAGACAAGGAAAATGTCGATTCTGACAACCGAAAATTTACTTAACTTCTAAAATTAATTCCTTGCTGTAGCAAGTTCTTCCCAAAGCGATGACAATCTGCCCTAGAAACAGTTTTCTTGTTACAATGAAACTGAGTTTATACTTGGTATTATTTGTCCGTAATTTTGAACCTTACACATCTCATGCTCCCCTTTCAGTTGCTGAGGAGGTTCAACCTCATTGCGTAAGAGAACGATGTAGCCCTCTGGCCATTTTGAGTTTAATATTCAAGGGGGTTCTGGAAATTTTCGAAAATTTTCGCCTCGCCAGACTCTTCCAGAACCCTTTTTTAGAGCACCCAGTGGAATGGTCTACAGACGTGGTAGTCCCGAAGATCTAATCATGTCTTCGGATCCGATCGGCTCAGTCCGGCCGTATTCGACTCACCGCGATCGGATTGAGTGGCCCCCCCGTGTGGGGGGCG